AACTCAAGTAGTAGGTAGTAGATATTTTTTTGCCACAAACCCTGGAGAGCAGGTACTGGTCAGAATAGACAATAATGGCTTGGATGGAGTACATATACTAGCTTGTATAAGATAACATCTACGTCCTATCCTTCCTTTAGAAGAGTTTGTAAATGTTTGATGTCTTTACATCTGTAAGGTTGTTCAGTAACTTTTCCAAGCAACTAGTATTGCTTTTTAATCTATTACTTTGAAAATTTCAATTCAAAATCATTGTATCCCAGCATTATATACTGAATTGTGAAGACCAAATATTCTTAGGTCCATTTACATACTTTCTTTACATATTTCTCCAGACTGAAAAATTGTGATTATTACAGTATATTTACAGAGTGGCTTCTGTCCATATTTGTATGGCATTCTGCTGCAATTGTGCATAGCATTTTGTAATATATATTTGCAATGATCATATTACATGTGATTTGTATGTGATTATGACACTGCTATATTCTTGCATAAGGTACATTCTCATGTATTACTGTATGAGAGTTGATATAACATACCAGCTAAATGACAGAGCTATAAATGAGGATATTCTTTGCCTATTCCATGAGATTACAAGGCAGGCCTTATGTCAGTCATTATCTATCAACCTGAGTCAAAGAAAAAATATTTTTATATGACTTGTAATGTTTAGCTTTATTTACTTTCCCTAGTTATTTATTCTGTATCATTTGATACCTCTACAATCACTTGTTTTGTAGTCTGTGGTATCAATAAAACAGACGTGCAGGTTTGAAAAATTAAGCAATCTAAATTGTATGTTTGGTACTTTTTTGATGGATAAACTGGAATAATAATAATAATAATAATAATAGGGGTTTTTTACAAAAATGATTTAAAATTATTGAAAAACGATGAAGTTGCTTTAAAAGCCTTAGACTATATTAAATATCGTAGAATCATACAATTATAACCTGTTTCTAAAAGGATTTATATATGTATGAGAAATTCCTTAAACCAACACTGCACCTCCCCACAAAGAAACTGTAAAGTCAAAACCCAGTTATAGGAATAATTGCTTATTCTCTTGTGTGATTAAAAAAACTCACAATAGCAACAACTATAAGAGACTGTAAGATATACAGGCAATTTCTTTGCCATGTGAAACAATCAATGTGTTTTAAGCCTTAAATATTAGCCTCATCATTTATTTTTTTTGCTTACTCAGTCCCAATGCTTTATGTTTTAATAGATAAGAGTATCAATAAAAAGGGCTAAGAAACCATCAAAGACACATTTCTTTAAAAAATAGGGTGGCCAACCCTTTCTATTGCCTTAATTTACAGTGGCAGAACCTGCACCTGCAATTGCATCAAATTCAGCTAGAAGTCTTTTTACATGTTTCCCATTTTTTTCATGGATGCCTCAGTAACACCATTGGCTGGGCACCAGAGCTCCCAAGTTACATAAGGGTGCCTTTGCAGAGGATTTTGAATCAGGGATACAGAAGGTTAGAGATGTCTGTCTTGCTATGAGAACTGTTCCATAATGCTCCATTCCATTTTGGATTAAGGCTCCAGATAAAATTCAGGAACAGTCATAGTATAGGTAGTCCTTGTTTAGAGACTGCAGTTAGGACTGGCAACTCGGTTGTTAAATGAAGCAGTCATTTAGTAAAAAATCATGTGACCATAACAGTGCTTACAATTTTACACAGGATGTGTACTAACTGACTGTAATGATGAACACATGACTGAGAGAGCGATGCTGCGAAGGTCGTAAATGCGAGCACTGGTCACAAAGTTACTTTTTCAGCACTGCTATAACAGTGAACAGTCGCTGTCTGAGGCAGTGGCTAAATGAGGAGTACCTGTAATTTTCACTTTGTAAAAATTTCCCCGTTTTCCCCCCAATATCCATATGTAGGTGTCTGATGAAGTACATCCTGCTTTACAAGTTTTATGCCATAATACATTTAGTCTTTCATGAATCTCAAAACTGTTGATTTTTAAAAGCCTACACATCTCACAACAAACAAAAGAAGTGGAGGGGCTTATGTCTTTGGATATCCTGCTTCTGAAAAAAGAAATTGTTTGGAAAATGTTTTTTATAACTAGTTTTCACATCTTTTCATATCTATGAACTTTTCCTACAAGTTCATAGTAAGGTTTATGATGAAAGAAATTTAGATTACTTGCTACTTAAGTAATCACAGTCATTCAAACTAGCTAACCGTTGTCTCTTATTTTATCCTGTTTCAAAATGTTGATTTCAAGTTAAATAATATATGGGAACAGCAGCAAAATATTACAGAGTGGAATGTTCCTGTTTAGTATTTCAGTTAGCCACCATACCTTTTCTAATATATCTGCTCCATTTGCTAACTGAGGATTCTCAATCACTGAGGATTTCCTTTTTTTCCCCCTAAAGATTTTTTTGTACTTCTGGAAACTTTTCCCTAAGCCTGCTGATGCTTCCTCTCTTGTACATGAATTGTGTGATTTTTGTTACATAAAAATCCATCTTTGAGTTCTCTGCAATCGATCTCAAGCAGAGATGCAATGAATTAAAATGGGAATAAGAACACTTGTTTCACTCTCTTCTTTGGTCTTGTTACCCTTTAAAGAAGAAAAGTGGCTGTTGCAAAGTGCCTCTCTCTGTATAATTTAGATCCTGGAAAATCAAGGTTTTAAATCATATGGATAGAGTGAAGATTTCTCTGCTTGTGGTCACCCATCATACATAAAGCATGAGAATGATGATGGAGGGAACATAGCATTAGATTAATCATCTCATTTCTCTTCCTTTTAGGTAGAACTTTTATGTACTCTAAATGACTGAACAAAGATTTAGAGAAATTCTCTCTCATATATAACATGATGGTAGGCAAGTAAGTAGAAACACTAGTTTTACTTCCTTTAATATTGAACAACCAAAGCTTTTCTTTTATACATAATCCAATTCAAAGATAATATAATAGCAATTCTGGCAATTGTCTGTATTTACAATCAGTGAGATGGGAGAGGAAACTAAAGACGATAAATGTTCAACATGTGTATGAACCACAATTAAAATGGAATATTTACAAAGGATTCAAAATTCAAAACTGCATATAAGAAACAATTAAACTCATGCTTTCAAAAGATTTTTGAATGATGATTGCTGTTATGATTTAAACAGTTGAAATCTTCAATAATACCTTCATTGGTTTTGTATGACTTTAAAATTAATTCCAGCATTTCTTTTGTGGCTGTTGCTTGTCTCTAGTTTGGTTTGGAATATAAGCAAGTAAATTTAATACAAAAACCTAATTCCATAGTCCTGGGTAGAGAATAATGAATCTTAAGAGATAGAATTCCGTTATTCTCAAAGTTCATATACATAAACATTATACACTTTAAATGTTCTTCACTGTTGCGTAAAGTATATGCACAGTATTAGTGAGCAAAAACATTTTTATGGTTTTCACCTGGCATAGACTTTTGTTGAACAAAAATAAAATAGAATTCTATTGTTCCTTTAGCCAAGCTATGAATTAATCATCAATTCCTGGAGTTTCACCTTGTTGTATTCTGGAAGCTATTCGAATCGCTTCTTCCAAAGATTGCTGTTCTCCAAGCTGAAACAAACAAAAGTACAGCTTAAAATGTATTCCCTTCAGAAAGAAAAACAGCATTCTAAAAGCATTTTCAGCACATTTTTCTCAAATGACTAGATGTGTATCAATATTACTTCTATATATGTAATTGTAATGATTTGTGATTTTTTTCCTTTGAGCTCACATATAAAATTTCAAGTGATTTTCTTTTGAAACAGAGGAACTTGTTTGAAAAATGGGTAACATGTTTAAAAAATGAGAGTCAAAAGACCCTTAAATATGAGAAATACCTTTTTCTGGATTCTGCCCATTATCTTGGAATCACTTCTAAGCATGAATAACAATGGATCAGGAAACTGACAATGCTGATCAGCCTTTTGATAAATAATTACTGTACAATAAATGGCTCAAGTTTATAGTGTATATAGGGAACATGAACTTTAATAACAATTATATTGAAAAAAGCCATACGAGAGGCAAATTTCTTTTAATTGAGCATTTTATAGCATACTTCAAGTGGATGCATTAACTAAGTATTTTTTACCATTATTTTTATTTTAAAACAAGTTGTACACATATTTAAGTAGAAGATCCAGATTTGTTGTTCTGCAAAATTAAAGCAGATTGTTAGATCCAATGGAGGTTCCTGGAGTGAAAGAGAAGTCAGTGATCACTGATTCCCTCCTCTCTGAGGCCCTCAATATTACTTCCTGTGGTGTTCCAGAATATCTCTAGATCTCTAGGAGCAGGTTATGGGGAGCATAAAAGGATGCAGAAAGGTAGAATTTTTCTGTCCTCTTTCTTGGCCGCAGATTCTCTAGTTTGTGAAATTCTACCCCTGGATTCAATCCACAGATTTTTAATAAAACGTTCCCAGTGTCTATGTCATATCCTAATTACCTGCACTGCAATTTGTGTCCCATTGGATGTTGCCAGCAAAGTAACAGGCCTAGATTCTGCAGTGACTAGATGATGTCCATGTTGCTGATGTCCAATTTCTGGTGAAGCACTATGAAAAGCTGCTAAATCCTGAGCCACAATGGCAACCTTAATAAGAAGCACAGAGAAAAAAAAATTCTAAATATTGAAATCTAAAAATAATTATTTATTTAAAAGTTTTTAAAGCCACTAATCAGTCTTAACATTTTAAAAACAGAGTATCAGCCTTACTAGGACATAAAGCAAGATATATGAATAATACCTCCCTCCAAAACACATTTTAGAACCAAGAGTATATTTGTAAGGGGTAAAAAAATCAGTAAAGTACTTTGCATAACATGTTAAGATATAATATGCTTAGACCTGGCATAACGTATGAACTGGGACCATGCATTTAATAATGCTTAAAGTAGAGCATCAAAACTGCAATATGTACCTATAGCATTTCATGTTTATACATTTAAATCCTGGCATCATGCGCTAACCCATACGTAATTCTCCCTTCTGGTCTTTGGGCACAGAGATGAATGGCAGCTACAAAGTGTATTGATCTATTTATTACTAAAAATTCTATGCAGCTTCAGTGCTGCTGACTTTAAGTAACTTACAAAGTTGAATGATATGGCCAAAATAAATTAATACATAGCAGAACAGTACAAAAATGGGCTTCTGTTGCTCTGAGTTTTTTTAGTGTATTATCTCAGGCTTAACTGGATTGGCTAGAATTATATTATAAATCCTGTAAAATTGTTAAGCATCTTACTAAGCAGGTGTATTTCAAATGGTCTTGGGAACAGAATAATTTATAAAATTATCTGAAAAATGTGTGTGTGTTTATGCTGAGTTAACATATTTTTTTTCCAGCATGTATGCATTTGTATGTTGTTCTGAATTTGTTTTTTATTTTATTATGTGGTTTTATTGGTTATTACTGTTATTGATTATATATACCACCCTGAGTCATATGCTGAGTAGGGTGGCTATATCAATCAATTAAATGAAATGCTATGCTAATAGTTAGAAAGCTCTGTTATTGACACATTTATTGTAGAAAGCCACAATTGTTTGTTTCCACCCATATATTTAGGAGCAATTTACCTGTTGTCCTTCTGTGCCTTCTGCGGTGACCATTGCAACAGAATGTGTTCCTGCAGAAGAAATAACTGCATCGTGTGCAGGGACTGTGATGGTAGTGCCATCTTGTGTTACCATGGTGATAGTATTTCCAATGGCCTGCATGTCAGCCTGAGATATGTTAACCTGAAACAGATTATAATAATTTAGTTAATAGCATTGGTTTGAGCATAATTTGATCATATAATATTTCATCTGGGGATATATTACTATACCTTTATAATAACTAAATAAACTAATAAAAACAATTAAAATAAAGCTCACCAAGATTCATAACCTTAAGCAGAAATCAGACACAAAAAAAACAGAACTGGAATTTTCAAAGTAAATTGACTATATTCTGTTTTATGCCTTAGATGGTTTCCACGTGAATGCAGTCCTTTTTTTTAGTTAACGTGTCATATATTCCCAACATTACTAATCTAATGGAAACCAATTTTAATGACATCTATAAAAAAAATCAGGAATGAAATTTATTTTTGCAAGCTATTTTGAAGGGTATCTTCATTATGGTGGATACTTACATGCTGAGTTCCATCTTGAGAAATAAGTGCCACTTGCTGACTCAGCCCTGTCTGAGTCACAGTAGCAACCTGTGCGGAAACGACATCCTCGCCTTCAACACCTGTTACATATGTTATTTGAGATCCTTTGAGAACATCTTCACCTTGACCTATTTAAAGGAATATGGGCTAAATTTGTATTTTAAAAAGGTATGGATTCTTTTGTATTGAGCTCAAGCCCTGATGACTACATGGGCAGATACATGTTGGGTTCCTGGCAACAATATGGACATGGTTTGCATTCCCACTGACATATTTCTGAGTATTTTTTTCAACTTCTTTATAGACTATTTCTTGTAATCCCCCAACTAAGTGCCAACCAGGTCCAACTCTACTTTGCTTTATTAAAATCATCATAGAGCTCCACAGTCAGTCCCCAAAGGTCTTCTGGATGTGCCAAGTTTTTACTAGCCTCCAGAAGGCCACAAGAGTAGGGACTAATATTGCCTTGGGGGCCAAGCTGTTCTATAGGAGGGTAACCTCTCTGCCACAGAGAACACCTGCTATCAGGTCCCCTCCCATCACACCTCTTGAAAGTAAGGACCCTTAGTAGGTACCCTCTGGCTATTCAGACTGGATGGGCAGAATCTACTCTGGCCCAAGCCATATAGGAGGGCTTTAAAGGTAGCAACAAGCATCCTGAATTGCATTTGGAAACACCATGGCAATCAAGGCAGCTGCTGCAGTAGCAATGTGTTATGGCAGGTCCATGAATGGCCAGTAAGCATAAAGCTGAAGTTTCTAGGTAGTCTTCAAGGACAGTCCCATGTTCAGAAAATTACAGTACAGGTAGTCCTCAACCTACGACCATTTGGTCAGCGACCGTTCCAAGTTACTACAGCGCTGAACGAACGGTGGTTATGACCAGTCCTTGGAGTTTCAGTTATCCCAGCACCCCTGCAGTCACGTAATTGTAATCTGGGTGCTCAGCAACCCACTCACACTTACGACTGGTTGACAAGCACCCTACGATCACGTGATCACAATCTCCAACCTTCCCTGCCAGCTTCCCCAGAAAGTCAATGGGGAAGTGGGAAGGGAAGGTTGCAACTTACCAGGATAAGTCTCCCCCCCTGCACACCCTCCCTTAGCCCCTCTGTGCTCATGCAACGCCAGCCAGTCCCACATCCCCACGCACCCTCCCCACACCGCATGTCTCTCGTGCACCTTCCCCAACCCTTCCTCACACCCCCTTACTCCCTCCCGCACCTGGCAGCAGCCACTTACCTGCCTGCTGGCCTGAGACTTGCAACTTCCTGCCAGCTTCCGCACTGATTTTGTTTGTGGGAAGCCAGTAGGAAGTTGCTTCACCTAATGACCATGGGACTCAGTTAACAATGGCAAATGGAACTGCAGGGATTGCCGTCGCTAATGGCAGTCAATGGCAGTCACACTTGCCATTGTAAGTCGAGGACTACCTGTAATCTAATCAAGAGATGACAAGGAGTGGTGATGTACAACTGGGTATAATGACAAGGAGTGGTGATGTACAACTGGGTATCATCAGATTATTGATGATACCTCACCCCAGACTGATGGATGGCCTCTCCTAGTGGTGTATTTCTTGAAATGCATACATTCTGTATTTCTTTTTACACTTATATCTTCTCTGAAACTGATTAGCCACTGTGTCTACAGTACAGTATTAAAAATAAATTTGTTTTCAATTAATTGTGAATGGCAAGTTGCTTACAGATCACTTAAAAACACAAAGAAGTGGATATTATAGAGAACATGCAATGTTTAAGAGTAGATCTTATAATATACTGAACTATTTGTAAGATATACAAATCTTACAAATGGTTTTGACAGAGAGAACATTCTTACAGTTAATATGAGTGAAAAATTAAGAGATACAACAATTAACTACATACCTGGGGGTGGCTCAAAAAAAGCTTCTTGTTCTTCCTCTATTGGTTCGGTATCATTGTGTGCTGTTCGCTTGTGCATTGCAAGGGTAGAAATCTGTTTGTATGTTTTCCCACAGTGATTACAGTTATAAGGTTTAGAATGTGTATGTACCACATGGTGTTTATATAAACTAGAATATTCTGTAAAACGCTTATCGCAGCCAGGGACTGTACATACATAAGGCTTCTCCCCTAGGCAAAAAGAGACAAGCAACGAGGGTAACTGAATAGGCTGTAATGTCTGGCAATCTCACACCACCACAAGTAACAGCCATTTTCAGATACTGCATATCACCGACATTCATATTAAAAATGACAACTCCAGTATGCAGTTGTCATAACTCCTTTGTTATGGTATTTCAAGTCAACCAGCAACCTTCATCCTCTTCTCTGTATAATATGTTTGCCTCCTCTCCTCTCTGCCATTTCCTTCCTCTTGCAGACTTCTTCTAACCACCTCCTCTTTCCTCTAAGCCAAGCCCCCCTCTAATCTTTGTCCACTAAACCTTTCTTTCTTCTAGCATTCCTTCCCTTGGATCCTTTGCTTACCCTACTTTTCAATAGTTATCCAACTACTAGCAATCAACACCATTTAGTCAGCCAGTGCCCACCAGAAACAACCATCTCCCATCCCTAGCCCTTTATGGCTGATAGGCACCTGAACTTGCCTCCCTCTAAGATTTCTCCAGCACCATAAATGCTCTGGAAAATAGCAAGGAATCATTTTACTTTTACAAAATTGTTATGTTTATAAGAGCTTGGAAATGTACACAATATTAAAATGTTATTCTCACTATTTCCATGTTACATCTCAAATTTTTGAATAATGTATGAATTCTTGAACTCCAAACATATAAAAAGAAATGGAGAATTCAGATGGAGAATTATGAGCTCATTACTCAGTAAAAAAAATTCCAAGTTCTACTTTGTTAAGAGGAGAATGAATTGTTTCCTATTTTCCCCAAAAATCTAAAATTACTTCTCAAATGAAACTGGAAAGAAAAAGGACTAAAGACTATAAGCAAAATATATCAAATACCATACCTGTATGTATTCTCACATGATTCTTGTAGTTAGTTGCACTGGCAAATGCCCTTCCACATCCAGGCTCTGTACAATAATATGGTCTTTCTCCTGTATGTGTCCTGATATGAACCTTTCTGATGTTAGATGTTGTAAATGACCTACCACATCCTTCAAAGGGACACTTGAATGGTCTTTCACCTAAAAAAATTGAAATAAAAAAAATCAGAATACTTTTAACAAAAGCTTCTTAAGTTATTTATAAATATTTGGCACTAAATATGTTAATAAACAAATCCCTCCACCTTTCTTTTCCTTTTTTCACTATTTTGAATAAGATTAGTTTTCTGCTAGGTTAAATAAATTTCTAATGCTGTCTTATACAGCATTCAATTACAAAACTGTGAGTATAGTTTTAAAATATAGTGAAGAAATGTCAATAAATTCATCTATTGCTTGATTTGTTTTATATTTATTTTGGGTGAACAAACTGTTCTGATCCACAGGCATTAGAATTTGATATTATAATTTTTTTTCTTTAACAATTCATCTCAATGAATCATGCCTAAAGTTGGGGAAAATTAAATCTGTTTTGCAGATTCAGTACCATTAATAGCTGAAGTCAAAGATGCAGGTGGAGAAACTTCTATATACAAATATGGCAACATTTACATGTGTTTTATTCTTTTCATTTTTCTGTAGGTTAAAATTCCAATATACACATAGTTGGGTAAGAGCTACTATGAGCTACTCATACTGTATTTGAATAATTCACAAAAACAATCAAAACATCATTTTAGCACCAAATGAATAGCTAAACATTTTAAAATACAAATGGGACAGGATGGGAGGGAACCCGGAGGCAAAGTTTTTGAATGTTACTATGTACTTTTTGTTATTATGTATTATGTACAGAGTCTGGTTTAACAGCTGCTGGCAACTTTGCCATTTCAGTTACTCCTTAAATTAAAAGGCAAATTCCTTAAGAGATAGACCATAATCCAGAGCATTAAATAATGAGCTTCTGAATTTGTGCATTCCCAGCCGAATACTGAACTTTGGGGACAGATTACTAATATAGTTTCTCCACAAAGTTTACATATCATTAAAATGTTAAAAGAGGTTTGTCAGACAGAATGAAAAGCTGCTGCTTGAGAAAGAAAGGGCATATTTTGTTAGTCTAATGTTTGTTCTCTGGATTGTGGCACTGGGAGTGTATAAACAAATGGGTATCAATTATCCATCTGTAAACACAACACTCTAAAATATATGTGTATTAAACTCACCCATGTAGTAATTCTAAAGAAAAAAGCATATCTTCCCTGTTTAACTTATATACAACTACCTTAAATATTGTCTGTACTGATCAGTACTTAAATCCCTACAACAAATGTTATATTTCTAGCATACCCTCATGCTGCTGTGCGACACTTTCTCAAGTGCTTTTGCTAAGAACTGTCGAGTCTCTGTATACTGTCATGCCACAGAGAGAAGCCTAAGAGGGATGGGTGAAAGCACAATTTTTATAATTCAATGTATTACTGAGATATTTATTAATCCCCCCATTATTATTATATAACACCAGATAGGAAAAAGCCTTCAAATTACCTCCCTACAAGACAACTATTGGCTTCTTAGTAGAAAAAAAACCTGCAATTTTTTACTTTGAAAAGTCTGTCAGTTTTCTGCCAAAAAGATGTATATGTTTTTAACTGTGTTTACTACAATATTATGTTGCCATAGTTTCCATAATCCTTTCATAATGCTGTATATCATGTTGCAAGGCAGAAAAGAGCTGAACTGCACTAAGACCCACCCAACAACAGCTTTTCTTTAAAGACGGCCTTTAGTTTAAACAGAAGGAATGGAATGTCTTTAAGAATGTTACACAACCTGTTTTGATTCTTCTTCTTCTTCTTCTTCTTCTTCTTCTTCTTCTTCTTCTTCTTTTTTTTTTTGAGGGCAAGCAGCTAGGATATGGTTATTTTAGAAAGTGGACTATTAACAGGGAAACCAATTCATACAGCTTCATAGATTCCTCCAGAGAGAACCCACTGGAGATTTCAGTCTGTGTACTGTATTGTAAAGCTAAATTCGTGAAAAGTCTTTCTGTCTATCTTGTGAGGGGATTTAAAGCTGAAAAGCAGTGGAGAGAAATGGGATGCTGAGCTCTACCTGTAGAGCTTCCTTCATATACTCCAGCTCTTTTCTTCTATGAGTTTTTCAAGGTTGGAAGCAAAGAGCTACTGGGACAAGAAAAAAAAAATGGGGAAGTGGTTCATAAGTTAAAAATAACATTGGGTCAGTGTTAATCCTCACTTGCCAGTTCCTTGCTTTAAACTGTCCCTATCCTGCTTTTATATATTCAACATAATCCATATTTTAATACACAGGTTATTCTGCTATTATACATAATGTAGCCCATAGGAAAGCTGAAAGTGGGGAAATGAATTTGATATCATTAGGAAAAGAAGCCAAATACGAATGACTTTTATATTCATAGTAGCAATATAAAGTATAAATGAGAATAAGAGCAGCTTTACATTTAACATTTTTATACATACATATCAGAAATCACATGGATGTATGTTAAATATATGATGCATGAACACAAAAATAAATATGCACAACTCTATATTATACAGATAAACTCAACATGAAACAGGGACGGTCAGATGTTCTCACTCATCAATTTCTGCTACATAATGTGTAAAAGAGCTGAGTATTTCTGGAGGATATATACCTAGTACTTACATTAGGGACAGACAATAACAAATCATATTAATTACTCAGATTTTATGTGATACATTTTGTTCCTTTTTCTTAGGAAACCACAAGGCAACCCCTGTCTGAAATACTGTTAATGGTATGTGGGAATGACCTTGGGAGACTGGGCCCTGATACGCTGTCTAGGGAATGGTCAAGTAAGAGACAGCATAGTCCATAGCTGGATCATGGGTGGGGCAAGGGGCTCAGAAGATTTCTCGGGGTGTAAAGAAGATGGGGGGAGAATTGTACTTTCAGACTTGCAAGATTCTGTTAATATAACCTTACAATAGAATAGAATTAACTCATCTTGTAATGTTTCCTATCTGGTCTACCTGGTAAGGCTGACAAATATTTTTAGTAGTATTAATAACTGAAAGCCGAATACTGCCAATACATAACAAACATAACCAAGCATTCCAACTTCTGGAATACATTCACTTCCTAGATTGATGATGATTATGTGCCATCAAGTTGGTGCTGACTCTTAGCGATCTAATAGATAGATTTTCTCCATGACGATCTGTCCCTAACCTGGTCCTTCAGGTCTTCAAACAAGTTACCTCCTAGAGAGTATATAATATTGTATGTAGCTATGGTAAAAATAGCACTCTGGGCCTAGACTCTCATTTTTAATTGCCGTCTTCCTGAGAAATTGCAAATACCAATTGTATATAGACTGTCTCCACATATAATATTGAACCAAGTCCAACAGAAGTAAGAATAATAACATTTCTACAGCACAAATTTGCATTATTCCACTTCTTCTGGAGCCAGAGAGATGAACTGGATAGCAATTTTTTCAGTCTTTTACAGTAAATCAACAACTGTACACAGACCACTTTTGCCTGAAACTCATTTACGTATGAAATTTTTCGGAGGGAATTGAAGACTTGGCTCTGCCAGCTTGCGTGAGGTGAGGAAAAATACAACCAACCCTGGGGATGGCTGGTGCCTTGACGATGCTCCTTGAGTTTATTAACACCTAATTAACATCAGCCTCTTGGAAGTATCATATTGGAAGTTTGTTTTCTAGCATATTTTAACTAATTAATATTTATCTATTTTAATTACTGTTTATTCTGTTGTTACTGTAAACTGCCCAGAGTCACTCTGTAGTGAGATGGGTGCTGACAGATTTGAAATATAAATAAACAAACAAACAAATAAATAAATAAATAAATAAATAAAAATAAGAGACTAACAAATGAAAAGAAGGAAAAAACAGATGTTGAATAGGTCTATAATAGTGCAGAGGAAAAAAGAATGAACTGGGGTTATAAAAACCTTTAGACAAAAGTCAGAAAAACAGGGGTAACCATTATGAATGCAAACCTGTCAAAGAAAACAATGGCAAAATCAGAAATAAACAAATGCTGGAGTGTATATTGGGGGTGTACAGAGAAAAAGAAGGGAGGGTTAAGGGTGAAAAGGGTTTACAAGAATCCTCAGAAGAAGCTGAGTTGTACACAACTATCCCTTTTACACATTTGTTAAAAACATATTTTTGCACTGTCTGTTCTTTAGTATCTACAATATTTAATGCTTTGGAATGAAACATTATCAATATGCTGATGATTCCAAAGTCATTTGTTATTTGCATCTCATTCAAAGGTCAGGCTGAAGCCAGTAATGTATTGAGTGAAGGTAGAAAGCAAAACTTAGTTGATTAGAAGGTACTGCTGGTAGACTGGCAGACTAACCAGGAATGTATTATTTGTTCCATTACTGATGGGTTGTGCTCTCCCTTAAGAAGCAAATCTGCAGTTTTTCAATACTTTTAGACCAGGTCCATATGGGATAAACTGCATTTCAACAGTTTCAACTCGTGCATCAGCTGTACACCCACCTGGCAGTAACCAGTTAGCTTATTGCAAAGTCTTGTATGTGGGCCTGTTCATGAAGATTATGCAGAAATGGTAGCTGGTGCAAAATACAGCAGTTAGTTAACCTAACCTGTCAATGGTGGACATACAAGACCAATATTAAAAGAGCTAAAAGAGTTTTTTTTTCTTTTTGTTTCTAGATACAGTTGAAAACCTTGGTTTTGGTCTTTAAAAACCTATGCAGCTTGGAACTTGGGTGTCTGAAGAACAGCTTCACCCCTTTAAAACCGTTCAGTTTTTTAAAAAGTTCTGTGGAGGCCTTTATCTGGTTTGTCAACTGAAATGGGCGTTTACTGTGGTAATCTCCAACTGCAGAACATCATACCAAAGAAGCCCACCACATGCCAAATTTTAGGTGACTGGACAAAAAAAAAAGCGTATTATTTTAACTAAGAAAGATTATAACTGTTACTGCTGCCACTGAATATTACTAAAGTTATGTTGTCATTATTTTGTTCTAGAACTATAGTGCCATTACATGTTCATGAATTTTGTTTAACTTAGGGATGTTTATTGGTGGCAACAAAGTTTCTAAATTAAATAGGAAGAAAAAGTATTTTTGCTCAACATTTTATATAAAGTATATCAAGGTGTTACAAGACTAATTTAGGATTTTTTTTTCAGTTTCAAAATGTTCAAAGTAATTTATAGTTAAGTCCTATATTTGTTTATTCAGATATAAGAATCCCTGAATTAAATGGGATTTATCCTCAGTAAGTGTGTATACATTTGCAGTTTTAGACTTTAGAAGGGATTGTTAAGATAGATGAACTTAGGGAATACTTTATTATGTCCAAATATGGCATTATAAAAGTTAATAAAGTTGTATTAATATGCAAAATACCTGTATGCGTTCTTATGTGTTTTTGCAGATCTCCTGAAGTCTTGAATGACTTTGTGCAGTTTTCTTCTGAACATCTATATGGCTTCTCTCCAGTATGAGTTCGGACATGACTTTTTAATCCATAACCTTGAGAAAGATTGTATTTATTTATGAAAATATTTTCCAGATACAAAAAATTGGAATTCCTCTCAGAATATAAATTAATTTGGGAATAATGTTCACTTTGAGAGCGTTCACCTTTTCCCAAAGGATGAGGCTTAATGACTCCCATCTATCGATATCTGAAGAAAACTCTATATATTTTATTTATATTATTTGTTCCTAACTAAGTTATATCCTTTGGTATACACATACCAAAATATTTAATACATTCGGTACAAATATGAATTGATATTCCTTAAATGAATGGGTAACCAAATTTTCACCTATTGGCATCAGTTCTGATTTGGACAAGTTATAGAATATCCTGCTATTTTACTAAAGGCATCTACCCTTTGCATCAACACAGGAGTAGTACTGTGAGGTTTAGAAATAAACAAAAGAATGTTGTCTGCAAATAAAACCAATATGCATTCAATGGAGTTGTGTACTACTCTGTAGATCTCCCTGTGTTGTCTAATAGTCCAAACCAAGGTTCCACACAAATGTTAAAAAGCAAGGATGAAAGTGGACATGCTTGTCTAATTCCAATAATAGTGGAAAAGTAGGAGAAAACATACCATTAACCTTTACTTTAGAAGTGGGCAACTCATATAATATCTTAATCCATTTTATAAATTCCAAAGTAAATCCAAATCTATTTAGCACACCAAACATATACTGTTTAGGTATTTTGTCAAAGGCTTTTTCAGCATCTAATGATAAAATTACAAATTGATCTTCGTTTTTATTCAAGTGTATTAAATCTACAGGTAACCTAATGTTGTTTGCTGCTTGCCTAGTTTTTATAAACCCTGCTTGATGTCAGAATCCTCGCAAGATTTTATAATAGATTATTAGATGGCTAGTTTAAAAAAATGGTTTTTTTTCAGGCTGCGTTTCTGCAATTGAAAAAGGGGGGGGGGAGTAGGAATGAGAAACCGTTTAAAGCAGATGGCTCTTTATCA